AAAAAAAAAAAAAATCCTAAACAACACTGAAAACAGAACACAAACCAACCAAAACTAAAACATAAACAAAATAAATCGAGAGCCCTTCCCACAACAGAAAACTACATCGAGCACAACAGCGGCAAAGACTCGGTCCAAGATCCCGACCCAGAAACTGCCAGAACGCCTAACTAAGTCGAGAACCAACGGACCTAATCCTCATACAGACGAACAACACCACTGACGCCCCGGAGACATAGACACCTGACCAACCAGACCAGCCCAGCCAGACCCAGCTCTGTCCAGCCCATAATCGCTCAGCCCAACGAACACAACAACCCAACCTATCGATCTCAGGTGACCGCGACTCCAAAGCTCCACACAAGCTCTTCCGACGACCGCGAGGTCAAAGATCAGCACCCCCCGTTCAATCGATGACCACCCAGGCTCCAATGCTCTGCGCCAGGACTAGGGCTATCCAATTTGGCCAGAACCCAATCTTCACCCCAAACCCTAATCGGAAGATTGGGGTCGCAGCTCCTTCCAAAAGAGCGCCGGAGGCCGCCGTTGCGAAGATACCGGAGGAGAACAACACCCGCCACACGCTTCCGGTCCGACACCAGAGGCTGAGCATCGGAGAACGGCGCAGGCTTCTCCTCGGTGAAAAAGCCCCCTCCAGTGGCGCTTCTCTTGGTGACGAGTTGCGGGGCCGTCGCCGAGCACTCGAAGTGCCCTGTCGGGGAAGGCGGCGGTGGATTTGCAGAGAGAAGCGGCGCGGGGAAGAAGATGATGCGGAGAAGGCGATGCGGACTATAATTGGATTACTTAAGGAAATCAAAATATCATTTGAATCAATATACATATATTAATTTATTAAAATTGTTATATAAAGTTTAAATTGTGCAAAACTACAAAAAAAAAATGTGTATTTAAAATTAGTACACAACCCGTGCGGTGCACATAACTCATAATAAATTGCATTATATTTGTTTCCAAAAGTGTCATTTCCAGTTTTTATTCAGAAATTCGATTTGACTATAAAGTAGTTATTTTGGTAAATTTTATCATATATTTAACAACCTATGTGAATAATAAGTATAAATATAAAAATTATATTGTTTCACTACTTAAAAAATTATTTTTGTATGAACTATTCAAATAGAAAAAAAAATAAGTAGTTGAGTAATTTAGTAAATTATAAATATTGTCTATTTCGTTTACGTCCAAGTTATTGATCCGTAAGTTCTTGAATAATTTAGTAATTATATTATTAATTGACTATTTCGTTTATGTCCAAGTTAATAATGACCCGTAAATTATAAATAATTATTTTTTTATTTTAATTTTAAATACTTTTTAAAAATATATTATGTACCAAATTTAAGCCATGCAACTAATAATTGTAATGGACGAAAGTTTTGTCAATACATTATATTTCAAATTTAAATCATGCAACTAATAAAAGTTATAGCCGCAATATTTGACCAAAATGATTCTTTACATTACTTACATTAATTTAGACGGGATTCTTCAAATGTTGGCTAAAAATATTACCCAATTTAGTAAATCTGATTTTTAGGCGGGAAACCAAATGCTTTTTGCTGATTTTTAGTTACAATTTCAAATAAATATCTTTGTCTTTTTATATATTAATAGATTAATTAAATAAAAAAAATAAATTATTGTCATAGCAATTCTGATTATGCCATGAAAACAATTAACTAACTATAGTAAAATAACTTGCTTAATGAGCTAAAAATTAAATAATATTTTAAATAATTAGTTTCAAAAAAGAGTCTCAAAATAGAATATCATTTAATGTGGCTTCATGATTACATAGTATTAGCTATTATGCAATAAAATAAATAAAAATATAATTCCTTTATTAATGCGAAAAATAATTGAAATAGCCATAAAAAATTTTCAACATATGAATACATATATATAGATTGGAAATAAAGAAAAATAAAATATGGGAATAAACAAATAAGGCAAAATCTTTTTTAGAACGTAAACGGCACGACTCAGTTGTTATTGACATTAAAATTTTAGTTGAAATTATGGTGTCATAATGATCACTTATTCTTGATTTATTTTGCAAAATTAAGAAATATATATTAAAAAATATGCAACAACTAAGGTGAAAATATGAAAATTAAATTTGCTAATGATAGTAACATACGATTTGAATGCAAAATCAATAATAATAAAAAGAGAAATATATACCACTACTAGTACAACTCCCGTGTGTTATACGGGTGTTTGTAATTAAAAAATTATTTTGAAATTTTAAAATTAATGAGAAAAAATATTTTAAATTTTATTTACTTTTTTACCAAAGAAATATATTATTATATCTTTTAAAATGACACTTGTTACTTGTGCAACTTACATGTGTTATATTATAGTATATAACGTATATCATATAACTACTTGAAATATAAATATATTAATTGATAAATAATTTTATTTTTCTAATTAATATTTAAAAATAATTTTATTATTGTTATAAAGATAAATATAATTTCTTTTTTTATACATACAATATGGATGTTAAATCGAAGCTCATTAAAAGATGATTAATTTGATATATTATACATGTAAAATTGATAACAACTACAAAAGTTATTAATTTTTAAAATATATTTACAATTCAATGGTTATAATAAGAAATGATATTAAGATACATTAATACATGTAAATAACCATAAATAATCAATATATTTATGGATAATCCGGATCTAATTATTTTTCGATTGGAAATAAATTAAAATTTAACCAAGCTAATTACGAAGCATGATTATTTGCCAAGTAGGATTCCGAAGCACCAGAAGTAGCCACGTAGGCTCAGCGCATTCGAGAATTATATATAGGTAAGATATGCCGACAAATGTTACAAAAATACTATAAAACTCATTAGTCACGGATAAATAAATTTTGGACGCAAATTAAGGTGCCAATTAATTACTTATTCTCGATTTTTTTTTTCAAATAAAGAATATTATATTAAAGATGTGCAACAATTTTGATGGGCAATATAAATTAAAAAACAAAAAAAAAAA